TTATATTTTGACTCTAAAATGGGTCATACAGGGGCCAGGGAGATGGCTCAGTAGAATAAGCACTTCCCTGGCAAGCACAAGGGCTTGAGTTCAATCCCTGGTTCCACAAAAAAATAAAATAAAATAAAATGGGTCATACAGTAATCTAGAAATTGAAGAGTTCTATTTGCATTTACAGAAAGCACTACAAAAAACTGCACTGCCACTGTTTATACTGTAGCTTTAGGTCGTAAGATAAAGTAACTTTTTTCTTATTCACATAACACTTAACTTACCCTTGAAGGAAGTAATATTGAAATGATCCAGACTGTTGCAGATGAAGTTTACAATATTTATCAGAATCATCTTCTCTTTCTGTTGGATTTTCCCAATCAAGGGAATGGAATTTTTCTCGATTAAATGTTTCTCCAGGAAATGGGTAATTTGTATACACAGTAACTGCTTTTCCCTGCAAAGTTGGACCTAATCGAAACTGTAGTTCAAACCCTAAAAAAAAAGTGTATTTTAATAAAATCATTGTAGGACTTATAATGTCTGAAAAATAGATGTCATATTTAAAATGTTTCAAAACTATAATTTTTTTCAGTCAAGTTTAAAATAACTCGCCCAGGGGCTGGCAAGATGGCTCAGTGGTCTAAAGCACCTACTTGGAACAAGCGTGGCAAAGCACAGGGACCTTGGTTCAATCCCCCAGAACCACATGCCAGCCAGCCCCGCCCCCTGGTGGGCTGAGCTGGCCACACACACACACACACACACACACACACACAAAATAAATAAATAAATAGATGTTAAAAAAATAAATAAATAAAATAACTCGCCCAGGAGACAGCTCAGCAGTGTAAGCGCCTGCATGGCAAGCACAATGTATTACTAAATACATTAAGAAATGGGATTAAAAGTAAAACAACTTTTGAAAGCTATTAAGGATAATTACATTGACTTCTAAAAAAATAAAGGAAGCTGACATGACCTGACTCTTTTGGTCAAGTAATGAATGGAAAAGCAGTCCTGAGTTTGATCCCCAGTACCACAATAGCAAACAAACAAACTCCATATTTTGAATGCTATTTTGGCACTACTTACTTTGATTTAGGCAAATTGTATATTTTAGCAAGTATAGTGAACATCATAAAATAGTCTGCTTGTTCATAATGTGCCCTTTTACTTTCCTAGGAAATGGACTCCTATTCAGATAGCTACTTAGTCTGAACATAACCTTATATATCTTGACCCCTTCAACCTCCCCCAGCTTGCCACCCTCAACTCAGTCCTCTTCTAGTATTTGCCAGACTGCAAGAGAGAAAGTAAGTATCTTTATGGTGTCAGAATATAGGACTGTATATAAAACTTAGGATGTCTCATTGGACAACTATTCTACTATACGGGAAAAGCCACCTATAGTGACAGAAGTAAACCTCGAAAGATGCACAATTCACACTTTTAACAGGAGTTTTGCAGGTAAATATAGGGTATGCTAATAAACATTTAACTGGCTGGGGTGGTGTGAAGCACTGACTTGTAGTGTTGGTTGACTTTGTAGTGGAACTAGCCCACTATGGACAATCAAAAGATCCCAACACATCACTGAATGTGGATTTGGGAAGGAATGTGCAGCATCAGTTCCTGTGAGCTGGCGAACACAACCCTCCCATGCCCTACTGCCCAGATCTCTCTTCTTCATGGCCTAGCTACTAACATCTCTGTTGCAATCCTGAGAACCAAGGATTCTCTCTTTTATCTGCGAACACAACCCTCCCATGCCCTACAGCCCAGATCTCTCTTCTTCATGGCCTAGCTACTAACATCTCTGTTGCAATCCTGAGAACCAAGGATTCTCTCTTTTATCTAAGTTTGTTTCTATTTAAAATACGTCAGACAAAAGAAATACAAATAGATATAATACAACTAAAAGGAAAGCAAGAACTTGATGACTAGACAATGAAAAGAGAGCAAAGAGAAGAGCTAGGAAACACGACAGTGGCAAGCTATACGGTTACATGTAGAAGATGGGAAAGGCAATGATGCTGAGAATCTTCAGAAGATTTTTGAATCTAGCAGTTAATTGGAATGATTCTCACCCCAACTATATATACAAACACCTGTGAACTAAGCAACTGCACTGAAGATGGCAATTTATAATAGTAGGTTCATGCTTGGAGTGCCTGTCATTCTGGTCTTCTGAATACGGGCTGCTTGTCATGACATGCCACTTGCTGCCGTGCTGTGTCTCAGGTAGATGATTGTTCAAAAAGAAGGGAG